CGAAATACAATTGCGATCATTTAATTGGTCCAGATTCAATCTGAGCCGTTTGGCTTTACACTGTTCCATGAGCCCATGGGCTGACAGGAGCTTTTTCATATATATATATATATATATATATATATATATATATGAAATACTTGTCACCATATTAGAAAGGTGCCCTCCTCCATATAGAAAGTAGGCCTCCGGTGCAAGAGAGGCCTCCAGATAGAAAGTAGGCCTCCGGTGCAAGAGAGGCAAAACATCTTTTTAGAGAGAAAAGAACTTTATATAGAGAGAAACAGTGCGATGATGCGTCCTCTCTTTATAAAAAAAAGAGAGCTACGTTACAATGGTGCCTCCGGTAGGGTAAGAGGATGATCTCTTATAGAGAAGTGGATACGTTGCGATGGTGCCTCATGTAGAGTGAGAGGCATGTCTCTTGTAGAGAAGTGTATCCCATGAAGATATTGGGTGGTTTCTCCTTGTAGTAAAAATGTCAGGTGCTCTCAAGGTACTCAACTTGTACAGTGGTTTAGCTTTGAAGTGGAGATGAGTCTCTTCTTGGACAACAGCTTAGAATTGTATTTGAGAGAGTTTAAAAGGGTTACTCGACTTGGGTTTGTTGATAATTAAAGAGGTAACTCTGTGTCCTAAAATATATGATATAACTTTTATTAGTATTGTGAAATTTTACTTGCTAGGCTAGTGGATGTAGTATTTTTGGGGTGAATCACATAAATCTTTGTGTTGTTATGACGTGTATGCTTTATGCTTTATTTCTCGACTTGTAGTCTTGCTTATTTTGTTTCGAGATGGATAAATACGTATTTTTAGTGGGATCCAACTTTTTGAGATTCTTATTTCAACATCTAATAGGGTTTTTAAATCCCAACATATCTTTATTTCAACAAGGGTCATTTGAGTCCTTTGAAAATTATTTTTTAAAATACTTTTTTTTAAAATTATTTTAAAATATAAGCATATCCAATAATTAACACTCAAATTAGAGGATAATCTAACCAACAGTTTGATATTCTTTATTTTTTCATAAATTTGTTAACTAATTAAATAAAATTATCTATTTCTTCACCACGTCCACTCTCTTTACTAAGTGTCAATAATCTCTTTTCCCTTAATCTTGAAAGCCATTTTTTTAAAAAAAGGGAAAACGATCCTCGGCATCAAATAAATGTTTGTCATCTTTTTAGCATTTTAAAGGTCTATACTACAAGTGACGTAGCCTAACAAAACCCTAATAAATATTACAACCTTTTAGTCTATCAATTCATGCAATTAAACAGTAGTTCAATTACAAACATACAACTTCAAATTTAACGAATGTTACTTTCTCAAACTTACCCTCTTTGGGTACGAACAATTCAAGATAAGTATCTACCATAAAAGCAGCCACCGTGTGACTCTTCACCTTACACGTGCCACATGCCTGACACGTGGAAGGTCGAATATGACACCCAGACAAACAGGTCGGCCTTTCAATATCCATGAGCTCTATAAACCTCCCATCTCTCAAGTCTCAACTGAAGGAATCCAAAGGCCGAGAGAGAGAGAGAGCCCAGAGAGTGTATGTTCTATTGCTAGAGAGTGTGTTCTTTCGTGGAGAAGAAGAGCTCCAGTTTTTTGGCAGTGCTATCAATGGCAGACCGAAAGGTGCAAGAAATGAAGAACAAGACCAGTGGCTCGTCGGTCTTAAGTTCCTCGATGGCTGCACTGGTGATCGGGGGACCCTTGTTGGGGATGAGTGGTTTCTCTTTCTTGGCTTCCATGACCATACTCATAATAAGTTCGCCGTTATTCCTCATCTTTAGCCCTCTTATTCTCCCGGTTGCCTTTGTTCTCGGCTGCTCAATGGTGGCTTTTGCAGCTGCTGGGTTAATGGGAATGGCTGGGTTCTGTGCCATTACTTGTGTTTTTCGAAGTGTTCGAGGTCAACAAATCGGGAGGATTCCGGCACAAGTGGTGGATACGGCCCAAAAAGCGAAGGAACATGGCAAAGAATTGGGTGCTCATTTGCAACAAAGGGTGCAAATTCCCATTGAGAATAAGACCAGAGGTTAGGGGAAGTGGGTGACGTAGTTTTAGATTTTCTATTTGTTTTGTGTGTAATTGCGTTTGCGAGTTATGTGGGTGGTTTGAAGCAGGATGGATGTATAATTTGTATGCTTGTACAAGGATTTGTTGGGCACATAAACCTACTGCCTTTGATATGGCACACTCCCACGGCTTCATAGTGTACACGTAGTCCCTTAGTAGCTCCCTCTGGTGAATTGCTGTAAAAGAGTTGCTTAGGCTGATTTTTTTAGCTTCTAAATTTTGGTAGGGAGAGTATAGTATGAGACCGCTACGGGGTACAAGGTGAGAAATTAATCTTCGACCATTGGATGGCTGCAAACCAAGCTCAAACTTGAAAAGAAATTATGGGAACTTTGTGATACATCCAAGTTATCAAATTTAAATCTTGTCGGTAAGATGGTTGTAAGTAATTGTGACAATTTTTGATAAAAAGGTAAATATACCCTTTATCAAATTTGTCGTCGGATCGTTGTAAGTAATATGTCGGATCGTTGTAAGTAATAAGTAATTGCGATACGTGATAAATGGTCACAATAACATCCTTTTCCTTTTTAGAACCCGGGTTTAATTGGTGAATTACGAGGTAAGAAAAGAGAGCCCGGGTTTTAATTGCTGAATTACGAGGTAAGAAAAGAGCCTGGTTTAATTGGATAGTGCTTGATCCTAGTCCTCTCCCCATTAACTCATTAAAAAAATAAAATGAAAGCGAATCATGAGGTAAGAGTTTTCTCTCTCTTAAAAAATGAATTTCAGAGTTCTTAGGCCCATATGCATATGGTCGGATGTTTTGTCTGGCTTAGCTTGGATACCCAAATTTACTTTGCGTTTTAAAGGAGGTTAAATCCAGGTACATGGATCTTGAAAATTTTCATAAATAGGATCTTAGGATCAGGGCTTATCCGAGGGAACTAAGGTTTACCCATTGCTGTCAGGATTAAATTAAGAACACAGATATTGTTCTCCCTTTGCCGTTGAACGATAGAAGAATAACTTCTCTTGGTTAGCGCATCTATGGTCAATAGGTCTGTGGATACGGCGGTCGATCGGTTCGCGCATCTCCGGTTAAAAGGTCTGTGGATACAGCGAGATGAACCATTTATCATCACGATAAGTGTCAAGTGGAAGTACAGTGGTGTCAAGTGGAAGTACAGTGGTGTCAAGTGCAGTGATATATGATGTAGTGTCAAGTGGAAGCGATGTATGACAGACTGGACCCTTGCCTTCCCAGTTAATGTTTTCCTCTCATTCTGATGGCATAAAACCATTACTCTCCGCAACACGAGAGGAGCGACGAACCTACGGGGCACACGATGATACTGAGTCTATAGGCGAATCAAGCCGATGACTGATACAAAGAGGGCTATGCATAGTTTTCAGACGTAACTACTGGGATTGTCGTCCACATCCTCTTCGCTGTCCATATCCCGCCGATTCAATCTAATCTCAGAAGCTTCGCTGGGATTGTCGTCTACATCTTCTTCCCTATCCACATCCCGCCGATTCAATCTAATGTCACTAGAAGTTCACATGCTAGTAGCACTCGAATAAGAGATTTACCATATTCCATAGTTACAGTTCAAAAAAAAAAAAAAAGATATTCCATAGTTTGATTCTTTTAACTGGTCTGGCTAGTCAACATCATCATCTCAAAGGGGCTGAAATTAGCGTTGTTAGATTCAGAGCCGTAAATATTTAAATCGACATAAATAATATATATATAAAAAAGAAATGATTTCATGAGACTCTCCCCACATTTGTGTGTAGGATTTTAAAAGATCACTATTAAATTTGACATAAATCTCTAGAAAAATTATCACATAGGTGTGGTACTTGACTTTCTAGAGATCTGTGTCAAATTTAATGGTGATCTTTTGAGGTCTTACACATATAGGTGTGTGAAGGTTTCATAAAGAGTCTCACAAGATCAAGACCATTTCTCATATATATACTCTTTCACACACATGTGTGCAGGACTTTAAAGAATCACTATTAAATTTGACAGATATTTCTAAAAAAGTTCCCACATATGTGATAATTTTTGTAGAGATTTCAAATTTAATATTGATTATTTAAAGCCTTACACACATGGATGTGGGAAGGTCTCATAAAATCATTACTATATATATATATTAAAATAATAATTTTAAAAATAAAAAATTTAAAAATCTAATTAAAAAGAGAAGATAATTTCGTTGAAGAGGATCAAATGGGTCTTTTTAAAAGACACTTATATGCTTCGATTTAAGAAGCCGAGTCAAACTGACGTGGGCCCAAAGCAAGCTTAAGCTTTCTACTTCGGTTTTTGTTTTGGGCTGAAGTGTTCAGGGTAGTAGTTTGCAAAGTTGCAATGTTGCCTGATTCATTTCGTCCTAGAGTCTAATTCGGTTTGGCATGAAAACATTTCGAGTTTGTTTCGGTATTGTGTGGTGTGAAAAATGAACCATTTGGTGTTTTTAATGGAGTACGCATTGTTCGGATATTATTTCACATGGAGTATTATTTTGTATGCTCAATATTTTTAGATATTATTTTTATTTTATAATATAAAGTTTTTTAAGCATCTTATTTTTATTTTCTAATATAAAGTTTTTTAAGCATCTCATTTTTATTTTATAATATAACTTTTTTTAAGCATCTCCTTGATTATCAAGGTTAAATATTTTTATAAAAATTAATAGTATTTATTAATGGTTAAAAAGTAAGAAGTAATATCGTGTGGATGTCATTATAGTTAATAAACAATTTACTTTATCATTTATTAATGTTTAAATAATTATAAAAAAATATTATATTATAAGATAAGAATATTGAGGGTCCATAAATATGCATTAAGGATAGGAAAAAATTTATATGGAGATTAGGCACTAAACAATCAAATTAGAGCTCACCTTAAGTAGAAGAGGTGGTTTTGATGCTCAAATATCTCAATTTGATCAAGGTGCATGGACACAAGAAAAAAATGAATTTCAAGTTTTGAAAATAATGCATCATCTATTTTTGGACCATCAATTTTCAAGATTGTCAAGTTTTCATTGATATGCTTGATCAAGCTTTCTATTTTATACTTATAGATGGAAATATATTTTAAGGCTATCCCAAAGCATTTTAGTATCCCAAAGCATTTTAGTATTGAAACCACTGGTGCACTTTACATTGCATCGGCTCTATACAAACTGCACCCTTAACGAAATACTTAATGGAAGTACCCTCATAAAGGGAATAATAAGAAGGAAATCTACCATGAAGGGAATAATGAGCTTAAATTTGTAACTTCATAAAAAGATTAAAAAATGAATTATGTGTTCATTATTTCTATCAAGAACAGGAATTGTTATTTTATATTTCCAAAAAAAAAAAAAAGTTATATGAAATAATAATAACTAGACTGGAAATATTGAATGATATCTGGGTGAAAACATTTGACTTTGAATTTGTTGAGAATTAATTTTGAGCTAATCTCAACAAGAGCATCTCTCTTTGAACTCCCACATAATCATCAGAATTACTAGGGTACACTTGTTTTGAATTATTCAACGTAGGGACCAACTTCAAAGAAATGACAATTCATAAGCACCTGGAAAAGAATAACATGTTAATATCGAAACATTGGATGGTGAGATCTAGGTATTTTTATGAACTTAATAATGCATGCTTATTTCTTTTGGAAAAAGTTTATACCGAGGCTCTAAATAATCAAATAACAGCCCACCTCAAAAATTTCACCAGAAAAGGTAGTTTTGATTTGCAAATATCCTCAAATTGATCATGACATGAGAAAAACATAGATTTCAAGTTTTGAAAATAGTGCGTCTTGTAACACATATTTGGACTGTCAATTTTCAAGATTTTCAAATTTTCATAGAGTTGCTTGATCTACACTATTTTTGACGTTTTAAATTTTATAATTAACAATGAAAATATATTTTAAGGCTATTGGTTTCCAATATTGTACCTGCATTTCTCGACACTAATTGAAGGTGCGCTTTACTCTGATTGTTTAGAGCCTTGGCATTGTACAAACCACACCCTTTCCTTTTTGGAAAATTAATATGGTGATCTTAAAGTAAATCCCAAAATTTCATATAGAAAAACTCTTCTTAAGTAGGCCTTTTACACGAGGGAGTAAAAAGTATGGTATGCTCTCTCAGGGCATGCCAATACATACTTAAAAGTTTGACATAAAATGGAAGAGGCCATGTACAGTTGAGAGAGAGATGGTGTCAGTCAAAAACATAAATATGATAAACTATGATGTTACACAATGAAAGGAACAAAATTTTGCTGGAGCTCAAATCTTCCATACTAGGTGCAAGAGGCTTGTTTTATTATAAGCCTGCTTTCACCTTCTTATTGCTTTGCCCCATAACCTTGGCAGTGGGGTTTGAGAGAGAAGAGGAGAGAGACTTCAAAAGGGCTGGAGATGGCTTTCTCACAGAGTGAACCAATAGTAACATTAGCGTCAACAATGTTAAAGCCCCTGCTTGATGAGCAGTGGCAAGAGAAACTGGAACATATGAAAGCAATGTTGATATACCCAAGGTCACCTGCATTTTCCATAAGAATCAAAATGGCTGGGACCCCCACAAATTTTACTAAGATCAAAGGTGATTTGGGGACAGCACTTGGAAGCATTTGAAATGAATGGAGTCTATGGACAAGTAATGGTTTAAAATTGGAGGCGTTTCATGTCTTGGGCAGAATAAATAATTTAAATGATTAGCATTCAACATGATTTATTAATTTACTGTCTGGGTGCAATCAGCATGATATTTTGCATTACAAGGAAAAGTTTAATAGCATTGGGCATTTTTAGAAGCCTTTCACCGAGATTACTGACAGTTTCTGGAGTAATTTATTATCTCTCAATCATTTTTTGCAAGTATAGGTGCAAATTGCAATGTGTCATGGGTAATTTTGTTTGCATCAGTCAGAGTTTTAAAAAATGTCGATTCAATATCAGAATCGCCTGATCTAGATTGGGAATCGGTGGAACCAATTCTTCCCACCACATATCAGGAACCGGCCGTTTCAGCCCTACCTTTTATTTTTTATTATTTTCCATTTTTTATTTTGTTCTCTATTTTTTAAAAAAAATTTATTGACTGATTCACTCGGCAGGAACCCCAATCGAATGGACTATGGGCAACCTTTAGTCTATCAGGTTCATTACCTGGTTCAAATGACATGGAAGGTGATAGAGAGCGAGTGGGACCCACCAGTGTACTATGTTTTTGCACCCTCCATGACCAATCACCATTTTACTGGGCAGTGACGAGCAAAATGGATGGTCATTTTCTAAAGACAATTGTAATGTAGCATATTATTTCTGTGGATGTGTGGCTTTGTAAGAGCCATGCAATAAATTTGCCAAGAAACTGTTCACTGGATTCTTCTTTCACCAAAACGATTATATTTGTGCTCAGCAGTTCAAATGCAAAGGAATTCTACTATGCTTCAAGAATATCGATCATCATGAGAAAAAAAACAAAATAAAATAAAATACATAAAAATGCATCAAGGAATGTAAAGATTATGTTACCTGTAAAGCTGCCATACCAAGGGTACTTCCAATCAGGGATTGGACTGCTGGATGCAAGTCTAATTTCTTTGTGGCCCACCACATGCCTCCAATGGAAAGCAGAGTTGCAGTGGCAAGTATACGGTGGTCAAGCTGGAAGAAAACAAGCAAGAAACTCCTCCTAATTTCTCTATCTTAATAGACTCTCTTAAGTTAATCCTAGAAAGAAGAAAATCACTACCATATCACACTGATCATATAATGATGAACTCTTCACAATCAGATATAATCTGTCATTTTTTACTTTTGTGCGGGCAGGCATGGAATGCTGCATGTACCAAACATAACACATGCAATTCTATTTTTTATTTTATTTTTTTGTGGTTTCATATTTAATTTATATTTTATTTGCCTCTTTTGTTGTTCCATATGAACGTATTTTTCATTTCCTTCCTCTTTCTATTTCTTTGTTCATTCTCTCGTTTCTTGCTTTCATTTTGTTGCATGTTTTAGTACAATTCAAACTTGAGATTTCCTGCCTCAACCTTGTTTTTGTTTCTTCTTCTCTAACATATATGTGCAATGTAAATTATTGGCAACTAGTTATCATATATGCTAAGCATTTGTTATTTCAAAAGCATATGTTCTCTTTTTTCATTTCCTTCACTTTTCTATCACTTCTTTGTTCATTCTCTCATTTCTTGCTTTTGGTTTCGTTACTTGTTCATTAATACAATTCAAACTTGAGTTTTCCTGCCTCAACCTTGCTTATTGTTTCTTTTCTATAATACAATTCAAACTTGAGTTTTCCTGCCTCAACCTTGCTTTTTGTTTCTTTTCTAAGATATATGTGGAATGTAGTTATTGCCAACTAGTTATCACATATGCCAAGAAATTAAAAGGTTACTTCATAAGCTTGGGGTTGAAGGGTCCTGATGTTTCAAGTACAGCAACAAAGAAATTGAAACATCTATGGAAAATTACAACTAGATCATATTGAAAGTAATATTTACAAGCACTATCAGGCCTTTGAAATTTACCTGAACAGTTGCTGTATTCTCAAAGAAATTGCGAAAAATAGGCTCTAACTCAAAAATCTCATCTGGGATCCAGCTGTCTCCCATCTTGGGAAACGTATTATATGCATGACCCTGAAGTTATAAAAGAGAATAAATAGCAGTGTGCATCGAACTGGGCATTGAGCGATATCTATCACATACGTAAGGTGTCAACATTATATTGTAGAAGTAAGGTACACCTCAAAATTTCACCTGAAAAAGTTGTTCCTAAGTCGAAAAACTTTACAATTAATCATCTCGACCTCGAGATGTATCGATTTAAAAAAAAAAAAATTTCAAGTCCTAAAACTGCTGCATCTTGTAATATATTATCTAGACCCTCTATTTTCAAAATCTTTGTTTATAGATATGCTCGATCTACACCATTTTTTAAGCTTTAAATTTCATAATTAAATGTGAAAATTGATTTTTAGGTCATCATAAAGGTTTTCGGCACAAGAACCGCATCTTTTACCAAGATTTAGAGGTGTCACTTTGATTGTTTAAGGTTGAGAGAGAGAGAGAGAGAGAGAGAGAGAGAGAGAGAGAGAGAGAGATTTTACTATGTAAAGTCAGACGATTTGGAATTGAAAGAAATGAGAGGCAGCAGTATAGACAGCAGGCTACTAGTAACATACCGCATCATTTCCTGCCACAAAGGCTCCTGAGAGAGCAGTGACACCAACCAGAATACTCACGGGAATTGCAAGTGTCCGAGCTTTTGCAGCTCCATGTATCCAAGATAATGAACCAGTTGGTGGTTGTGGCATAACAACTGAAAGACCAGTCCAAAAAAGGCCGCAGTATATTATGAAAGCAGATGTCAAATGAGTAGCCAAACGATAAGGGCTCACCCTTGGCTGAGCATATTCAGATGCTGGCTCCTGGAAAAGAAAACAAGCTATTTGATGAATTCAAAAAATTAACTACTAATTTTTCTCTAGGTATTTCTTTCTTTTTTTTCTTCTTAAGAAAAAATACTCACCCTTGATAAAGAAGAAAGAATGTAAGAATTGCGAATGATCAAAGACAAATTTGCAATGATCTATATTAAGAAAAATAAAAAAAATCAATAACAGCATGCCAAGGAGAATGGGTCAGTAATAATTTTCCGGGGTCGCACCTCTAGTCCACTTTTTACCATCCACCAGCCAATTAGACCCTGGCCAGCACCAAGTGCAAAAAGAGCAGAGAGTCTCAGTCCAAGCTGACGGGTAATATACCCTTTAGCAAGAAAATATGTAAAAGGCATTGCAAATATGATGCCCAATCCCCTTCCCCACATTCGATGTGCATATTCCATCCAATATATGAATTTGAAATTTTCAAGACTCATCCCTCTGTTCACTCTGCAAGGTATCAAATTTGTGTGTGATCACCCATCTATGAATGGAATTTTGTAGCATCCATGAATACAAATTTAAGATAAGAACCTATATTTCAGAGACCAAAATGTAAATCAAATAACACAATAAAATCAAGAAAGGGCAACATATAGTAAGCTGTCTGCTGATCAGCAATAACAGAAGCAATTTACATTGTGGTTTTATGTTCTACCCCAGTACTTTGATTCTTTTCCAATACATCACTTCAATTAGATCAGAGAAATGATGAAATAAAACAGGGCAACCACAATATTTGCTATAGAAGAAATCAACAAGCTATGAACATCAAAAAAAGGATGAAAAGCACTAAAGGGAAAAAACATTGAATATTTAAAATACAAGATGAAAAGTACTGTTTGGTGACCTGAATCTCCAAATTGGTAAGATAAACCCAGTGCTCAAAATTAGGAAATAAAATTTAATACTTTAAGTAAACCTCACATGGATTTTCTTTTGAGGAAATAAACCCTGAATGGATTAACTATATATCACTGTCTCTCTTTTTTTTAGAATATTTTTTAACATTAACAGAAATAAATCAAGATGCAAAATAAGGCAGCATTTCAGAAGGCAAATTTTATGCAAAATAGAGCAATAAAAATTGAAATATTCAATTTCCTCCATAGCGTCAAAAAAAAAATCAATTTCTTCCTCCTAGGAAAAAAAAGTGTGCTGATACTTCATTAAGATACAATATAAGAAACAAGCTACCCAAGGAAAATCTTACTGGAGCAGCATCTAATAAATGTCCATGAAACCATTCATATCAGGACAATTGAAATGCCACCTTTCGAGAAAGGAAACCAAGTAAATTGTAGAATGAAGAATCACACATCTCGAGAAAATAGAAGTGATAACACAAATTGGAATTATAAGTATAAAGCATGTAGAGGTTAAATACATTTTTAACAAGAAAAGTGTTCAAAGAAAAATTATGCACACTAACTGAAGCTTAACTGATTCAATACTAAAAATAAAAAACCAGGACCTTTACATTTTAGAACTTACCAGTTCATAATGGTGAGACAATTTTGCAAGCAAAGGGTGTTCCAAGTGAGCAGAACAATGGAATATATCAGTATTACTTAAAAAAAATAGCATATTAATATTGTAAAAGCTAAATCTTTCGTAAAAGAAGTGCTTCGAGCCAAATTACTACTTAGAATGACATATAAATAAAAATATAAATACAATATATATCCCTCTTTTTAAAAGATAACCATATAATATAAATTTACTTAATTGTTTGCTTTGGCATTGCTCTACAATTACACTTAATGGGCACGGACATGAATATGCATAACCCTTATACACATAAGGCATTGTGCAGACAAACCTTTTGTATTCAGGTGATTGCTTGTATTTTTCAAACTCAAGCTGCCATTCTTCTTCTGACAATGGTGGGAGTCTACCACTAAACTTCCAATCAGTCATCGAAAGACCAGACCTTGTAAGGCGTGTAACACCGCCAAGTACCACCATACTAAATACCCATGCAGCACAACCAAATATCCATATTCCAACTTGTTTCTGTACTTCAGTTCCTTTATTAACAAGCAATGTCACCCCTTCTTTCACAACTTCAGATTTGTTTGGTGCTAATAAGGATGCAGTGGTTGACATGTTCTTTGAAGGTTGAAAGGAAAATCCCTGAGAATGTAAAGGAAGAGTCACAGTTTCTATCTTCTCATAATGAAAACAAGTGGCCATGTATTACACAGTAATCAGATGGAAGCACATGAAACAAGCAATAAAAAGGAAAAACCTTCGAAAAAGGATAGTAATTTTAAAACCCATGTGCATGTGCCACATCGCTTAGTCATGTGAATGATACATGATTCCAAAGTGATGCAGGAAACCATGGCAATTTCAGTGGGGAAAGGAAAACAATTATGGCACAAAAAGAACTGCTGTCATTGATAAACAGAAGACCACGTTGGGGAAAGCTTAAGAGCTGCGAACACAATATTAAGGACATGATTCGAGTGAATAAATTAAATTTTGGCTAGAAACTCGTACGTGCTATCAAGTATCAGCCGGAGTAAAAGGATTAAAGTTCTTCAGATTCTGATATCACTGGAATATCATAAAATTTTTAAAAAAGGAAAAAAAAGAACTATTGGCCCATTGTGAAAAACTCTTAAAATTGCCAACTATGTAGCAAAAATCATCCTAATTAATGACGATTACCTACTTAGCGGAAAACACCAGAAACACAGATGGCTCAAAAACTGAACATTCCTACATCTAGGGATTGAAATGAGACGGTCCACCAAACCAACTGCAATGAGGACATGGAAATGTAACTAAAAGCTACTATTGAGGGGTATTATAACTGAGCAACTAATGCTGATATTGATTTAAACCACTGCTTTCAAGGCCATCATTGCATGTTTTCGCGAGGTGAAGGGCATGGGCCTATTGTGAACATGTACGTGAATCAAAAACAACGTTTTTTTTTTTTGATATCCAATTTGCATAGCAAAATGTGAGTGACATACACGAGGCATACATTCGTTCAAGAAATGCAGCTAAGAACATACAAGGAACAAAAAGACTAAAATTTAAATGCCCAAAATTTTGTGGTTTGGTTAAATTAGATGCACAAAATAATATAATCTGATTTACTTCTTTTTCTTTTACTAGATAAGCTCTAAATTATAGAAGAACACAATTGATTGGACATAACATTCGATAAAAGAAAACCCATTTTAAAAGCAGTTCAATGAATATGCAGATGATTTTCCATCGAGAGAGGAACTACAAGTGAAGAAAAGCTTCTCCAATGAATTCACTGTTAAAATTGAATCATGCCATATAAAATAAAAATAAATTCTAAATAGCATGCAATACAGGTTAAATGATAAAAGCCATCACCTTTTGCATGAATTTGCTCCGAAAAAATGCATTGCCGTAATTTAAAGCAAAACGACTGGATAAAAAACCAGCTCCATTTGAAAAATTGGAGACTTTAAGCAGCTGTAAACCAACTCCATTTGAAGCACCACAACTTTTAATCAGCTCAAAACCAGCTTCATTTGAAACCCTAGAAGAATCCTTGAAGAGATGGAAGAGTGATGAATTCTTGTTTCTCCTAAGAAGAGAAATCAACCTACTCATAATGGATGAGCCCTTAGAGATTCAAGAATGACTGCATTTCTATGAAGGGTTGAGGTAAGGGGCTTGTTAATCCAATGAGTTCTAGGGTTCAAGGTCGCGCAAATAACATGAAGAAACAGTGGAAAGGAGAAGTACAACAAAATGCCGCTCTTGAGAGAGAAATGATAGGCTTCGGAAGGAACCGGGCTCACCGATGACTTTCCCGGTAAGGTTTTCGGGCCGAGATTTGTGCTTTAGAAGATAATACAAAGGATTGTTTTGTTTTTTACAATATAAGGAGGTCAGTGGGTTGGATTTCAAATCGGAAGATTGTGAGTGCATTATTGAATAGACTTGAATTTTAACTTTTTTTTTTTTTTTTTTTTAAAAAAAAGTAACTTTTTAACATGATGAGTGCATTTTTTAATAGGCTCAAAATTTAATTTAATTTTTTTAAAAAAAAAGACTTTTTAACGTGATCTAAGCTATCCAATTTAACACCTAATGACTAGTAGCAACCGGGACCTCCTCGTTACAAAGGTAAATAGTCTCGTATTATACACTTGAGTTTATTTTGAGGGTTCACTCAAATTGAAGAGAGGTAAAGTGGACTGCATTGACAGATAGCAAATACGACTTCCTTGTTACAAAAGAAAGTAGTTACACTTCCGTTTACTGTGGGGGGGGGGGGGGGGGTCACTAAAATTGAAATTGAAATTGGAGAGAGTTTGATAGAGTGGCATAAAAATCGGGTAGCTAATGTTGCCTCGACTCGACCGATCGGATGGATTAGATTTGAAAAAGAGCATGTATACTTTTAAATTTCACATCGAAAATTGTTGTAAGTAATTGTAGTAAAAAAAATCACATTGTATGTCCTTACCCAAAAAAAAAAAAAAAAAAAAAAAAAAAAGAACGGTGGTTAAATTTGGACAAAATTCCTCACCCGCATGCGTAGTCGTCCTTGGATATTTAAAAGAGCGGGGCTCATGTGAATGACATCAAGAGAGAGTTGTCTATAAGAATATTAAGTTTCGAACGCAGAGGCGGGTGCAAGCTTCCCTGCAACTGAAAAATCATGTAATACGTTGGGTGTTGGGTTTTTTAGTAGAGAGAGAGAGAGAGATGGAAATGGATTCATCTCATCCCATGACAATTCGACCCCTATCTGCAGCATACCTCCATTTTCAGCTTCCTTCTTGTTTTCTGCAGCTCTGTTACTGCTTGTAACCATATCCATAATCAATCATGAAAAAGCTAGGTCCTTTCCTCTTTTCTTCTACCTCAATCCACTCTAAAAGCCCAACGTATTTATTTCCCCTGATTTTTTCCCAGTTTTCCACAGCTACACCTCTCTCTTCTCTCGCTGAATCTGATGACTCCTCCGATTCAGAGCCATGTGACCTTTCTCTCGCTATAATCGAACCCAGAAACCTTCTCTCTAAAAGCAATTCTTCAACCCAAGGCCTCCACGTTCTTGACTTAATGGACCGGGGTTCAATTCCAGTTGATGCTGAAACCTACTCCAGATTGCTCAAGAGATGCACCCAATTGGGTAAATTAAAAGAAGGTAAATCGATCCATGCGCACATTTTGAACTCAAAGTTAAAATCTGATATTTTCTTGAGAAACTCCATTATCAACATGTATGCAAAGTGTGGGTCTCTGTGCGATGCCAAAAAATCATTTGATGAAATGCTTCTGAGAGATATGGTTTCTTGGACCGTATTGATTACTGGGTTTGCGCAAAATGATCAATCAGCAGAAGCAGTTGGATGTTTTCTAGAGATGCATAGATCGGGATTGAAGCCAAACCAATTCACTTTTGCTAGTGTTTTCAAGGCTTGTGGGGCTTTATCGAGCTCTGAACTGGGTAAACAAGTCCATGGATTTAGTGTTAAGAGTGGGTGTGATTTCAATGTCTATGTTTCTAGCTCAATTGTTGATATGTACACTAGAAATGGTGAAATGGGTGGTGCACATAAGGTCTTTGATGAGATGACTGAGAGAAATGAGGTTTGCTGGAATGCTTTGATAGCGGGTTATGCTCGGAAGGGGGAGGGAGAAAATTCCTTAGAACAATTTTTGAAGATGCAAAGAGCTGGTTTTGAACCTACCCATTTTACTTATTCTAGTGTTTTTAGTGGGTGTGCTAGTATAGGGGCACTGGAGCAAGGGAAGTGGGTTCATGCTCATATGGTTAAGTTTGGATGCAGGGTCATAGCCTTCGTGGCTAACACCTTGATGGATATGTATGCAAAATCTGGTAGCATTGAAGATGCTATGAAAGTTTTCGATAGGTTGCAAAAACCAGATGTGGTTTCATGGAATTCTATACTTACTGGACTGGCCCAACATGGCCTAGGAAAAGAAGCTGTAATCAAATTCGAAGAAATGCTTAAAAAGGGAATAAAACCCAATGAGATTAGCTTCCTTTGTGTGCTTTCAGCCTGTAGCCATGCCGGTTTAATAAATGAAGGGTGGCGTTATTTTGAACTAATGAGAGAGAAAGAGAAGTATGGAATTGAGCCTAAGATGGAGCACTACGTTTCAATAGTAGATCTCTTTGGTCGAGCTGGTATGCTTGATCAAGCCGAGAGGTTTATTAAGAGTATGCCTATTGAGCCTAATGCTGCTATTTGGGGTGCTTTACTTGGAGCTTGTAGAATGCATGGGAATATGGAGTTAGGAAAGCTTGCAGCGGAGTGTGTATTCGAGCTTGATCCCCATGATTCAGGCCCCCATGTTTTATTATCAAACATTTATGCAGCTGCTGGTAAATGGGGTGAGGCAGCTAGAGTGAGAAAGTTAATGAAAGAGAGTGGGGTAAAGAAAGAACCAGCTTGTAGTTGGGTAGAGATAGAGAATTCAGTTCATATGTTTGTTGCAAATGATGATACTCACCCACAAAAGGAAGATATATTTAAGATGTTGGACAAATTGGGTGTTAAGCTTAAGGAAGCTGGTTATGTACCCGATACGAATTATGTCCTTCTATATGTGGATAAGCAGGAGAGAGAGATGAAGTTACAGTACCATAGTGAGAAGATTGCTCTTGCTTTTGCCCTTCTTAACACCCCTCCGGGGGCCACGATAAGGATCAAGAAGAATATTAGGGTTTGTGGGGATTGTCATAATGCGATTAAGTTGGCATCAAAGATCGTGGAGAGAGAAATTATCGTGAGAGATACGAATCGTTTCCATCATTTCAGGGATGGCTCTTGTACATGTGGAGATTATTGGTGACATATTAAAGAGAGCTTCAGGAATGTGTGGAAACCAAGAGAGAGACCTTGGTGATGCCAATTATGAAAGAGCCATATTTCATTTGTTTGGACTTGGAAATTAGTGGCATCTCAAAGCAGTCACTGAGTTACGCTGTGCTGCTATTGAGAAACAATGAGTTATGACCTTGTAGTAGGAAAGAGAAATGGAAGACGCGATGGTGAAACAAAAGAGAGACTAAGCCTACATAAGAGTTCAGAGAGGAGGAAGAGGGGGGAGGTGAGAGCGGCAAATGGGGGACAAACTGTGCTTTCTTATCAGCATCCGCTGGGTTTCACTCTTGTGAGCCTGTAAGTCTTGTATTCATCAATGCTACATTCTTCCTCACTGAATTCACAACACGACAGTCATTATTATTGGGATACACTTAAAGCCTGAAGCTATAACGAAGACACAATATCCAGCCAGATCTATTGTACAGCTTTGACTATGAACCTGGTAAAGACCTTATAACTCATTTCGAGTACTGATCCATGATGAGTTTCTTTTATGTGATATCACTTGTACTGATATACTAATTTTGGGACTCACCAATTGATGCATATTAGGTTACCAGCTTACCAATCAATTACACTGGGCATGTCGAGGGAGGGATGGAGCGAAGGAGGGAGAGATTTTGTGTCTTTTATTATTATCTCTCATTGATTCATTTTATATTCATTTTGTTGTAACTTGCAACAGAAGCAAGATTATTTGGAAGAGTCATAAATTAGTATGGTGTTGCAGTTTAAGGGATGATTGATCCTGGCAAGGATTTTTCGCTTGCCCAGCCATTTTCGCTGACTGCAACTTGTCAGTTGATGAATATCATTTCATTGTGAACTCATTGCTTCCATTTTCGTTTACGTGTGATGATAAATTATTAGAAAATGACTGAAAGTACTGGTGTTTTTATTTGCTTTTCATGTTCTAATGCTACTGTAAAGTTCCTATTACTGCATATTTACTCATCGTTCCAACAAAACTTTATATGTATATCTGTTTTGATTTTGATTTGTAGAGTAAGGACACATATCTATGATTTACAATTGTGAGAATAGGAATTTATGCTATACATTATGCTCCTACACTAGCTAGTATCAATAGTCCTTTTTTTTTCTTTTTTTCTTTTTTTGAGAACATGGTCTAGATATTCTGTTCATTGATTGAAATCTTGTAACAGCAATTAATAGTTTAGAATGTTACAGAAAGTACCAAGCAACACCATCGTGAAAAGTGTATTTGAACTTTAATCACCCATCAATGCTACTACATCCTAAAAATTAGGATACACAAGCTTGGTTTTGAAGAATTATTTTCTCACAAGTATTATCTGAACATTACATTCTCAATCGTGTCCCTTTCAAAGAATTAAAATTGAATGCCAATACTAACCCAATAAAATAATAACCTTTGAAATATAATTCTTTAGTAGAAATAGTGATCAATCATTCTCTCACAGAGAAGAACTTGAGTGCTATGATTGGAAACTGGGCATTTTTCGTATTGATGCTGTAACAATGATGATCTCTTCTCTCATTTCTCCTGACAACCTTCAAGCACAAATAGTTGTTATTTATTTTTAAGGAACACGACTTCATGTAGAGATATAAAAGTTTATATCCAAGTTTTGTGCCCAGTTCCTTTGTAACTTAACCCATTCTATGTACCCAAGAATCACTCCTGATATATACAAACCACCAGTCACAGATTTTTAGGGTGAGTCATACTTCTTAAAATTCTAAGCAGGGATATGCTTCCTTCTTCCCTAAATCCCCACAGTAACAGTCGCTCCAAGTTATGAAGCATAAGATGCTTAGTCTTGGAAATCCTACATTATCACTGCATCCCATCTTGCACACATTGTATGCCGCAGAAAGCACAAATTGTGTCTAATAAGGCAATGTTTGGGGAGATTTGATTGGGTCTTTAGTTGGGACAGAAGATCTTAAATGCAACCTTGTGAGACTCTCAAGAGAGCCTAACCACTGTGGTAACTTCCCTAACACAAAATCTATATGTAGTGGACTAAGATGTGGTGGGGCTAGATGCCATGAGTTCATTGTATAAATTTCTGTTTTATCAATAGAAGACAAAACAAGGCTTTTGAGTTACTTCATCTTTTGGATGGAGGCCATATCTTCTCCCCATCCTTCTTGTTTGCCAACTGGATAATTTCTTAACTCGGATAAACTATTCCAAATCTTTAATAAAAGCAACACAGAAAGGAATATAAGAGATGAGCCATGATAGCTTTTTAATCAATAGAAAGGGATTTCATAGTGTTCAGAATAGAACCAATATAAAACAATAGTAAAAATTCAAGCTCATGGGGAGTATTCACTATATAGTGGATGAGAGTAAGTACTAAAATCTTGAAGAAATTTACAGGGAAAAATGCAGTTAGGATTTTGAATTTTCTTATTGGAAATCAGATGGAGGAAAATTTAGCTTTAGTTGGGAAAAGGCTTTGATGATGATGATATAGGATTCTTTGCTTGTGAAAGATGTTGGTTTGAGTTTCCAAAGAGAGAGACGAATTAGTGGCATTTCTTACTTTTCCCATTGAGATAACTATTACAATACCTTTTTATTGTATTTGATTTTATTTTAGGGAGATTGTTGGAACCAGCCAATGCATTGATAGGACCACCCAAAATGCTAATTCATGGGTCATCCAGCTACCCACTCCCCATATTCTAAAAAAACAAAAAGTTTGAATCATCTAAAAAATTGCCTTAAACTCCCCCCAAATTTTAGGGATCTCCCACCTATTCTTTATTTCACCCTCTCTTACTTCCTCTTTTCCATGCTCGTAGAATGGAAACCTCTCTCACTCTCTCATGAATAGTCTTGAGGAATCTCTTGGAGCTTGTCATTCCTCTTAAGTGTCTTGAAGACATGGAACTTCTTTTTTATCCCGTTTTTCTCGTGTGAGAAAGAATGGTGGGATTAGTTGTCCTTTTTGAGGAAGTGTGGCGGAGCTACTCTGGCTCCTCTTGAGAAAATAGAAAACATTGAGAGAGAGAGAGAAAGTCATCATCATCAGACCAACTATTTGGGGTCTGCTATATAAATCCTAGTCTGTCTATGTACTCTATTAAGGGTCATACTTTCAGTGAGGCCATAAGTTCCTATGTCTTTTTTCACTATTTTCAACTATGCCTACTTGGGCCTACAGAGAGAGAGTACCAATCTTTTTGTTAACAACCAAGCGAATGGTGAGTAGTCAATTGGCATTCAACTATTTGGGGTTGCTACATAAGTCTTAGTCGGCCAATATACTTTATTAAAGGCGATACCCTCAGTGATGTCATAAGTTCTCATGCCTTTTTTTACTATTTTCAACTATGCCTACTTGGGCCAATAAAGAGAGAGTGACCATACCTTAAGAGACGCCATAAGTTCCCATGTCTTTTCTCACTATTTTCAACTATGCCTACTTGGGCCTACAAAGAGAGAGAGTGATGCCATGTCTTTTTTTACTATTTTCAACTATGCTCACTTGGGCCTACAAAGAGAGAGTGACCATACCCTTAGTGACGCCATAAGTTCCCATATCTGTTCTCACTATTTTTATCTATGCCCACTTGGGCTTACAAAGAGAGAGTGACGCCATAAGTTCTCATGTCTTTTCTTACTATTTTCAACTCACTTGGACCTACAAAGAGAGAGAGCGGGTACCGGTTTTCGGGGAGAAAAAAAAATAAACCAGAAAATAAAAATAATGATAAAAGGTGAGAGAATATACCCTCTCTCTAGGTCTGCAAGGGAGTCTATCCAAAAGATCTTTTCAGAAGACCCAAATTTTTTACTCAAATCCAACTATCTCTTTTTACAAAAAAAATAAAAAGGCATCTTCTCTTTAAATACATTTACAAGAATAAATAAATAAATAAATAAACACCTACAAACAAAAATAACTTTTATCTCACTCTCTCTTTGCTACTATTTTCTCTCCCATCTTCTTAAGTAAATCTCCCTAAAATCTTTACCAAATAATATCTCCTTATATTTAGGAAATAACCAACTTGGTTTCTCTTTATCCTCATGCACCACCTTCGTCCGTATCTCTTTTTTTTTTTCTTTTATAATGCTTATCAACCCATTAAGAGCTAACAATTCAACCCCCACAAAACTAGAAACTATATCCTCCTAAAACTCTAACATAACCAACTCCCATAGACTAAAGAAAGCAATAATAACCCTAAGGAAAACTACAATCTCAAATAACATATTTTCTAAAATTAAAAAAAAAAGTATAAAATAAAAAATAAAAAAATCCCCGATTTTTATTTGCATCAGCAAGTGTCCGTTTAACACATGATTTTTCAAAAAATCCCATTTTTTTAATGGAACCGATAAAAATCAATATTTTATCTATTTTTCCAAAAAAATTTCCAAAAAAGTTTCTTCCCTGCAATTTTATCTCTTCAATGATTTAATATATTTGAATTTTAGTTTAGAGATAAGCACAATAGAAGTAGAAGTACATTAAGAATCTTGATTTAACAAAAATTCCAATCAAAAATTTTCACCAATATGTTCCCTTAAAAAAGAATCTTGATTTAACAAAAAATTGCATCAAGAATTTTCACCAATATGTTCCCTTAAAAAAAAGTGCAATATATTCTCCAAAAAAATAGCAATATACTCTTCAAAAAAAATAATCCATCAGAGCAACCATATATCTCAAAAAACTAGATAGAAATAGAGGAAAAGTAACCCAATAAGTAATCTTTTTTCCCTCTAAACATAAAGCATCGTAATAAAGAGCAAAAGAGAGATTCAGATACAACTAAAGATTTAGGTAACTAAGAAGCATCATAATAAAGAGCAAAAGAGAGATTCAGATACAACTAAAGATTTAGGTAACTAAGAATTCAGGGTGCACTTCGAATATTTAGATTTGCTTAAGCACTTTTTTGTTTTCTTTTTGCATACTAAAGTTTGATTAATTTCACCTTTTATATTTTTTTTAAGTTCTGTAGTGTGTACAACATAACAATTTGGATGGATCACTACGGTACATATTTCGGTTTTTGTGTTTTAGTTAACTGCATTCCTTTACTAAAGATCTTTTTTTTTTCTTACAACGATATTCCCATACCTTGGTTTCCATTCTTATTGTTGGCTGATGTAGTTCTTGTGTTTAGTGTTGTCGTTGTGATGTTATATTGTAGGGAAAAGTTTATATAAGGTTGCAACCTTAAAATGTAGAATTACATATGCATCTCAAAAGTCTATCGGAAATGTTGTTTTAATGTTGAAAAAGCCCTCTAATCAATCATCTTGACATCAATATCTATGAATATGAAAAAAAAAAAGTTTTTGAATCTTGAAAATAGTACATCTGGCAACACATTATCTAGCCCGTCCATTTTCAATATTTTCATATATTTATAGATCTACTTGATTTTAACCATTTTTGGAATTTAAAATTTTCTAATTGGGTATGAAAATAGATATTAAGATCATACTAATAATTTTTTACAACAAAATTATATCTTATGATAAAATTTTAAGGTGCCCCTTAATTGGATTGTTTAAGGTTGCAACCTTATAGAAACCTCACCCTATATTGTATGCTCCCAATAAAACTATCATATGTTCTTTGTCGTGAGAACAAAGTAAGCATTGTTGTTGTATTTATTGAAAGTTTAGATAAAATTTGTCAGTATGACACTTATGATATTAGGTAAGGACATAAAAGTATTTTAATGGTTTCAATGTATCCATACGATAAACGTAATTCATAATCTTTTACTGTGACATTTATATATCTGATTTATTCACTTTGTTCCTTTGAGCCAAATCCCAAACATTCATGATTCTCTAAGTTTTGGCGATTGTATTGTCATTCCATGACTTGCTAACTATGGGTTGGTTCCAACAGTTTCTTTTTTAAATAGATATTAGAAACACCAATCACATTTTTAGGTATATTGAAAACGCTCTCGCGCTATTTTGACCATATAGATAGCAACAAACTTTAGCAGAAATTGTGCAAAAATAAATTATAAAAAGGGCTTAATGGCAAATATATATTATTTTTGTTCGCACTACACAAGTCAACAAAAGAAAACATAATATAGACAAATTCTAAGATGTTTGTGGATTTTCACGAAAAGATTGTATATTCTAATTCATGTAGCCTATATAGTATGTTATCTACATCTACTTTCCATGGTCAAATAGTGACGACTGAGATCACCATTTCCACTGTATTGGAAATGTAAAGTATGAGCAATACTTCGCTGTTTGACAACATATTGTGGAAGCAATATACCTGGTGGGAATGTGGAAGAGAACTTAATTTCATGTTGCATTCTTAGAGCAATTCACATCAGATTTACCCACTCAAGAAAAACTGCTTTTTTTATCCAAATTTCATATCATTTTGATTTATAGAAAAAAAATGAAAATTGAAATATTACCGGACAATCATGAACGTGCGATGAACTTTGGACGATGATGAGCATAGGCAAAATCATTGTTCATTTTCGCCTATAGGCGTTGCGTAGTGCTTTCATATATATATATATATATATATACAACAACAAAGGAGACATATAGAGTTATTCAAACTATCAACATATCAAACTTATGAAATAGGGGCAGCTTGGGAAAAAAACTGAAAAAAAAGATGGTTGAATGTAAAGTCAAACACAGAAAAAAAAAATGGTTATAAATGTAAAGTTAAACAAAGGTCTGAAGTAAGTTTATGAGTTAAAAGAGATGAAATTTCAAACCTTCAAGGTCTAAAATAAGGGCGGCTTGGGAAAAAAACATAAAAAAAAGATGTTTATGAATGTAAAGTCAAACTTTTTAGGGGGATTTCTTAAATAAATGTACTTTTGAGGGACTAGTGTAATATAGAGGGACCAATTAATGAATGTACTTTTGAGGGACTAGTGTAATTTAGAGGGACCAGTAAATGAATGTGCGTATCAATTGGTTCAATACTAGTGGAATACTAAGAATATAATGACACCAACTATGTTAACCGACACCAACTATATTAACCGACTTGATTTATATACGAGTGAACAACTATGTTAACCGACTTGATTATATAAGAGTGAACTCAAAAATGATGGCTGTGCAGGGAGTAGCCAGCCAAGACTTGATTTATATACGAGTGAATCCAAAAACGATGGCCGTACGGGGAGTAGCCAGCCAATCATAGGGGGCCCACCCCCAGCTTGCTTAAGGGGCACACAAAATGATGGCTGTGCAGGGAGTAGCCAACCAATCACAGGGGGCCCACCCCGAGGTTGCTTGAGGGGCACACCCCCAGGTTGCTTAAGGAGCGCTGAGTAATATGAGGATAATGAGGGAGGGAGGGAGCACTGAGTAATATGAGGATAACTGCTAGAAAGGTAAGTGAGTTTTTCGATGGTAGTAAGCGTGCATTAAAGGTAAGTGAGTTTTTCAATGGCAGTAAGCGTGCATTAAGGATCGGCATGAAGTCGTACCTTTTTGCTTTTGGTTATGAATGAGTTAACCAGAATGCTGAGTAATATGAGGATAACTGCTAGAAAGGTTAGTGAGTTTTTCAATGGTAGTAAGCGTGCATTAAGGATCGGCATTAAGTCATATCCTTTTGCTTTTGGTTATGAATGAGTTAACCAGAAATATACAGGCGCTGAGTAATATGAGGATAACTAGTGAGTTTTTCAATGGTAGTAGGTAAGTGAGTTTTTCAATGGTAGTAAGCGTGCATTAAGGATCGGCATTAAGTCATATCTTTTTGCTTTTGGTGATATACGGTGAGGATCCGTGGTTATTTTCTTTACAAATAACATAGCTTTGACTATTGATATTAGAGAAAGTTAGAACTTTGAAAAATGCTTTAGACTCTAAAATTTTTTAATAATAGTCATACTAAGATTTTCTCTTTTTCTATATTTTTCTACATGTCCCCAGATAAAACTTTTCAAATCAAAGTTTTATAAATTATTTTAGCTTTTTTGGATTTTTATGCTGCCTTTGGTTGTTTAAATTCCAATTACTATTTTATTTTTTTGAAATTTTTATTTTTAGGGTTTATTGGCCCTGTGCATTACAGCACCAAGTCCACTCGGACTTAGCCAAGCTACTCTCAGGGCACAGGCCAGTTAAGAAAAATTTCCCCACAGAATATCCAGAATTAAATGCCATCAGTTGAGTTCCAAAGCATTCAAGCTTACATCGAACCAGTGTTCCGAAAATTGAAATCTACTGGGCAGGGGCACAGGCTCGTTGTACCTGCACAAGGCTAACATAAAACTAAAAAATAAAAATAAAAATAAATAAATATAAAGAAGAAGAAGTAATACTGGAAAAACAGGAGACTCAAGCAATTATAGGGTTTTTCGGTTAGGAATCGCCACCTTCCCTATCCAATTTGGCTCAAACAGTTAGATTTTTTATATCCTACATTGAACAATAGGCATATGACTCCAATGTATGGATAGTGAAGATCATGAGTTAATGCTTGAAATACTCTCATCACGCATTCTCTTTCACAAGCTCTCATAATTGTCTTCATATTAATTATCCTCTCTCTCTCTCTCTCTCTTTTTTAAATTTTATTTATTAAATTTTATTTATCTCTTCCTCCAAAGATAGGAATGTATCCTACAATCTTTATAGAATTCATGAGTAAATGCTTGAAATACTCTCATCACGCATTTTCTTTCACAAGCTCTCATAATAACAATTGAGGAAGAATTCTTCCTAGTTTCTTCCGATGGTTCCAAATATAAAAGTAAGCTCTCATAACAACATTTGAGGAAGAATTCTTCCTAGTTTCTTCCATTGGTTCCTAATATAAAAGTGGAAGTGGAGAAAACCGAAAACTTCCGTCTTTTTCTTTGTTCCTGGTTTCCTCGAATATCATTCATCTAAATCACAAAGCAGATTATCTCAAAAAGCAATCTCCAAAACCAGTTATACTTCTACTGTGATCTCCCACATGTATGACTCTTTCTCAGGAACTCCCAAATCAAGGCTGAGCAGACCTGAACTCTCCTCATATGTGAACTCTGATTCCAAAGAGCCCACTGTGATTCTCTTGGGTCTTGTAGAGGAAAAAGCTCCGAAAAGGCCGCACCCACGAACTTTCATATTGATAGTCGTGATTTCGGATGACTCGTATGCCAATTCCTTGATAGCCCCACCAGAATTGAACATCTTGATCAGGCCAATTGGTGCAAAAGAGGCGCCATTGGAGAGATCCTTAACAGGAGCAACTGTGAAAACTTCATACTCTCGGGACTTCAAGGTAACGGGAACAGATGCATTTTTGGGAAGATACACTAGCTCTCCTGCACAAAAAATAGTGGAAAACGAGTAAACAAGCAGGATATCAAGGTTCGAAACTGAACCCAAACTCGGAAACTACCCAACAGCCCGCTTTTCTTTCATACTTTGTCAAGAATATAAAATGCAAGAAACACTTGAAATGTGTTTCAAGAAGAGTATATCAAACGCATGAAATGCTGATTTGTGGACTATGAACTCTTTCATCTCTTACAGATCTGTCGTATTCCCCTCTATCTTTTTATTTGTTTCCTTTTTCCCCTCACAAAACTCATTTATTAAATAACAAGCTTTTTAAATCCTTGTGTTTTATTAAATAACAAGCTTTTTAAATCCTTGTGTTTTATTAAATAACAAGCTTTTTAAATCCTTGTGTTCAAGAAAGCAAACTCTGGACCTTTTAACCACCTGGAAGCATTGGGATCCCGTTGCATTTGACATTTAATGTGATTAACTTGGGCCTTTTGGGACAAACTTCGAGGATCAAACCCTTGACCTCCCACATTATGTCCAGAACTAACTTGATTCCAGAACTAACTTGATTCCTAGGAGAAAGAAAGGGAAGCAAAAACGAAAAAGCCAAGGTTTGCCTGTTTGGGGTTTTTGGACAAATTTTAAGCGCTCAAACCTTGATCACCCTCACCCAAAACTGAAATGTCTACTGCTAAACCAAAGCCTAAGGGACAGAAGTATGTTGAATAGGATTTGAACTTGAGTAATAGTGAGTAAATAGCAATACACTGACCATTAAAACCCCAACGAATTAACTGAGCTGAATGCGATTTGGTCCTTTAGGAACCAAGAAACATTTTGGTCTTTCATGGAGTGACGTAATGAACATAAAAGTTATTTCAAAAATCTTACCTCCTAAATGTGAGTATAGAACAGCATTTCCACTCCAGTCATTTTCTGCTATCTTTGGCAAATAGTCAACATCCTTTGCTCTAATACTTCCCGTGATTGTCCCTGGTTGTTTATCATGAATCGTATTCTTCTTGCCAATCCTACACCATCCAGCTCCTTGACAATTAAAGACTCCCAGGACTCCAGTGTGATCATTGAGGTTCCATATTTTCAACAAGCTACATGGTACAAAGACAAATTACCAATTAGTCAGTATTTACCACATAAAAATTCACAATTAAAAACCAAGAATAAGCTTAAACCCAGTTAACAGTGGATTCAGAAAGTTGTGGTCATGAATAATGAGAGGAAATAGTTATTTAGTTTCTCACCTTTTCCCATCTCTTGCAGGATCAGAAAACAAGCAATCCTTGGTGGGTCTCCCCGGAAGTTTGGCCCTCAATATCGAGCCATCTGGAAGTACAAGCTTCTTCAACAGATCAAAATCATGGTTTCCTGGTTTGTCACTGCATTGAGTAAAGTTAAAGTGATAATTTAGCCAACAGCTTCAGTCTCCATGAATTTTAAGCTATCAAAATAAATTATTTAGCTGGATATCCAAGGTTTCAATGCCTGAATTTTTTAAACAGAAAAAATATATATACACAGATACGCATGCATGCGCAAACACACAGAGGCATAGAGAGAAAGAAAGAGAGAGAGACCTGACATAAATGGCACATCCACCAACTGCACGTGCTGCTCCATGATATTCAGCCATTGGATGAAGGCTCTGCACAAAGCCAAAGGAAAAAGAATGAAATCATGATATACAAACACAAATAATACTCCTCGAATGTAGTGTTTGAATTTCTAAGTTAATAAACCAGCTTGCAAATATTTAATGCACTGATAGATGCCCAACACATTTCCACCAAAAAAAAAAAAAGGAACAAAAAGATCCGAGTATGGCAACATACATGGAACATATCCCAGTCAGGCTGCATAAATTCTCCGAGAAAAACAGTATTATATGCCACAGAAGCAATGTGGATTGTGTGAGTGGCTGGATCTTTAGGCCAAAAATCATCGGATGCTCTTATTACTGCAGTTCTCTTTGAGCTATAATCAAAACAAGATATCAAACTAATTAAGAATACAAAAAAAGTAACAGACATTAACAAAAATTTTGGAGAAAGAGGTTTAGATAAACCAACTGTTAGTGAAAGGAATGAGCAAAAGCTCACCGGCAGCTAACAAAAACTCAAATAGAGAACCCAAGTACTCACAGTTTCCATTACCTGTACAAACCATCCGTATTGTGACTCATGCAAGCAATTATTCCATTATCGGGGAAATTTCTCGAGATTGAAGCTTCCAATGCTTGATGGTATTTTCTAGCGAGGGTCACACGCCCACCATGGCCAGCTCCTAAGGTCTCTAGAATGTTTTGGACATCAACTTTGACCCCATCAATTCCAGCTGATGCGAGATAAGAGTGGAGTTCATCATAGAAGCTGAAAACTTTCTCCGGGTTTACAAGGCCAAGGCCATTAAGTGCAATGCTATTTAAGGCGTCACAAGCTTCATTCGATAGAATCCCAGGAGAAGTGACGGGATATGCCATCTTTGATTCATAGTGTTCCATTCCTTTAGCACCAGGCCTTACCCCACCCCAATACCCAGTCAATGCATGCCAGACGTAGACATATCTGAAAAATGAGAAAGGAAATTATTAGCAAGATAACCAAAGATGTAACAAAGTAATTACATGGATTGCAAGAAAATGTACATAACCAATTAGGATAGTAATAAAATCAGAAATATGTCAAATGCATGGCAAGATAGCAATACATGGAATTATGACATAATTAACTTATTCACTATATACAAATGGTTAAAGATGTTTCATTTACTTTAGCCATTTTAATATTTCTGGACACAAGTTATAAGCCAAATGCATGGACAGAAACTATCCAAAACAGAGTTTTCATTATTGCATCTAAGTCGGTCCTTGGTGTTCGCCAATATAAATGATACACATCAACAGAAGTTTAAATGGATGACTTTTGAAATAATACATGGACAACTATCAAATTGGTGGCAGATAGTAATCAAATTGTGTCCAAAAGCTGATCATCAATACGAAAAGAATGAATTCTCACAATGAATTTAAAAAAATGAACAACGATCAAATTGGTGGAAGATAGTAATCTTACTTTACATCGTGTTTGCCTTTGATTTCACTGACTATGTGAAAAAGACCCAACGCTGGATCCTCCTCTCTGTGACCCTCTTTTCCATTCTTCTGAAACTTGTGATTCTCCTTAATATGTGTGAGCCTGTTTGCAAAGCTGTCCAAGGGAACAATTGCATATTATAATCTCAAAATGGAAGAAGACCTAGCCATTGACAAGCTTATATATAAAATATAATTAACTGTATGCTTACTTTGCTGCATCTTGAGCCTCAGAGGCAACACCGATGGGATCCATGCCAACAGATTGCCAACCATCATCTATTATTACAAACTTGGGGGGTATTCCACCTTTCTCTAAACTGCACTAGACTAATCAACTTCAGTATAAAAATCATTTTGTAATCTAAAATCCATATAAATATTTAGCCTCAAAAGAAGAGAAATAACCCAAAGCAGTTCAATACCTTTCCAAACCTTGTTTGACTCCATCAGCCGTAACATCAGTATAAAAAGCATCCCACGTGCACCACCCAAACCAATTAAGCATATCCGGCATCTACATCAGATATATGGCAAATATAGAAGATAAGAATTTGGGATTTATGGTGAATAAGCCACCAATGGTTAGAATGGGGAGAAACATCTTGCAATTACCTTCTTTCTTTCACGGTGAGCAAATGTTTGGGAATGACTCTCAACAGATCTACAAATATTAACAAAGAAAAAACAACAGAAGCACATTAAAGATATGCAAGGGATGTAGGTTGAATTGACCAACACAAAATACAGAGAAGCATAAGGTTTTTTTTATTTGAGGAAAAGAACCACAGGATGGCAAACAAGACCACCAGATTCTATTTCTTTCCTTTTGCTTTCTGATGTCGCAATTATTCCTCATAAACGGATCTCCCTTCGCATTTAATGTATCTTATCTTTTATATATAAAGAAAAATGGGCAGGGGATTCACCCAAAAACAAAAGGGTGCAGTTGGCATACGGATGCATCCGTAGCCGTAGAGGTAAGGTGCACCTTCAAATTTTATCATGGTATATAATTTTGATGTAAAATGTTCTTAGGATTATCTCAAAATCTATTTTTATATCTAATTATAAAATGTTAAATTTAAAAAATGGTTAAAATCAAGTAGATCTAAAAACATATGAAAATCTTGAAAATGGACAATGTACATAATATGTTGTAAAATGCACTATTTCTAAGACTTAAAATCTTTTCATTTTTCATGGTCATACATCTCGATGTCGAGATGATCAATCAAAGGGTTTTTCAACATTAAAACTACCTTTTCCGATGGATTTTTGAGGTGCATACGTAGTTCTACATTATAAGGTTGCATCCTTATATAAACTTTTTCCAAAACAAAAATATCCAAGAGTAAAAGACCAGAGATCAGAGGACATACCCCCTATTACAATTCTGGATCCCAAATTGATAAATAAATGTTAAGTAATTAGAAACACTTGATCATGTCAAGATTTAACATCCGACAATCTAGTCGCAAATTTCAGAAAATGATCAACATATAATGTATTTTTTGATCCAGAACTAGCCTCAAAACAAGTAAGGTGCATTGCTGACAATGCTAGGCATTATGTCCTTCATTTTTCTTGAAATATTTCTCAAATTGATACTACAAAGGCAACATACAAGTTAATTTGAGTGACTATGGCAACTCAACTCAGCCAGACAGGAAGATCACAGTTCTCTCTTGATATATATATATATATATAAGAAATTACCTGTATGTTATAGAGAGAGAGAGAGAGAGAGAGAGAGAGAGAGAGAGAGA